CTGCAGCATATGATAAGGGAAGTGACTTCTCCTTTCATAAACCTGCATAATGATTCTTGGGACTGATTCAATTTGATTTGATTTGGGGAAGCTGAGAACAGGAAAGTTTCTGGCACTTCTATTGTCCTTATCTTGCATCATAATTATTAGCAAAGGGCACTACAGAGAAAACTGTTCACAAAGGCCACTGATTTTGGGTTGTATAGACAAGACCTCAAAACAGTTAAGCAGTTTCATGGAAATGGACAAAGCTAGAGGGGAAGGAAGGCTTTGTTTCCTCTGTGTTTCCAAATATTTACAGGGAACTACATAAAACATCCTGGCTTCTGAACTAGGAAATCACATTTATTTCCTTCATAAGGAGAAGGAAAAATAAGGAAACTCCTTTTCCCACAGAGGCTTTCAGCTAGAAATAGAAATGAAATAGACTTTAGTATTTAAAGTGAGAACTTATTTATACCTTAGTTTTTATCTTTATGCATATCTTTTAAACCAGTTTCTAGTGTAGACGTGTATTTCATAACTAGTTCTGACCACAGAAAATAATTTTGTCTGACATGATGGATATAAAAACCACATTTCATGGCTTACCTTCACTTCTGCCTCCTGACAGTCAACAGGAATACCCATGTGCCAGTCTGGTGGGACAGTGAAGAGGAACACCTCCACTGCTTACAGCCTCTGGTGAAGCCAGTGTTTTTTAGAGAAGTACCAAAACCTAACTCTTGGAGAACTGAGAATGCCCAGGTGGCCAAGAAGACCAATGGCTTCCTGGCCTGGATCAGCAATAGTGTGGCCAGCAGGACCAGGCCAGGGATCATCTCTCTGCGCTCGGCACTGCTGAGGCTGCACCCCAGATCCTGTGTTCAGTTCTGGATCCCTCATTACAAGAAAGACAATGAGGTGCTGGAATGAGCCCAGAGAAAGGAAATGGGGCCTGGGAAGGGTCCAGAGCAGAATTCTGATAAGGCAGATAAGGGTGTTTAGTCTGCAGAAGAGGAGTCTCAGGGGAGCCCTTAGTGCTCTCTAAAACCACTTGAGAGGAGACTGTAGCCAGACAGGGGTTAGTCTCTTCTCCCAGGTAATAAATGACAGGACAAGAGGAAACAGCCTCAAGTTGAGCCAGGGGAGATTGAGGTTGGATAATTAGGAAAAATGTGGTCACTGAAAGGGTTGTCAAGCTGTGGAACAGGCTGTGTGGGGAAGTGGTGGAGTCACCATCCCTGGAGGCGTGCATAACCCAGTATACACCCCATTTGCTTTTGCAGTTTAGATGTGGCACTTGGGGACACGGTCTAGCGGTAGGCTCGGCAGTGCTGGGTTACCAGTTGTTCTCGATGATCTTAACCCCTGAAGGTCCTTTCCAAGTTGCAGGACTCCTGCAACTCACACACTCACTGGATTTGACTGTGCATCCCAGCACAGGGACCGGATGAGGTGCGCCAGGTCCGTGCCGCAGTGCCCGTGTTGTGCCACCAGGCGGCGGCAGTGAGGGCGGCGCTG